CCCCCCCCCCCCCCCCCCCACAAACCCTCCAGGACCTGCTGATGAACGACCAGGTGAAGGAGTTCGCCGCCAACGTCTACGAGAGCTTCAGCACGCCACAGGGGCTGCAGAAGTAACCATCCGGACGCACCTGGCCAGGTGGTGGAGGAGGAGGAGGAGGAGCCAATCAGAAACGGCGTTAGAAGCCCCTCCTTCTCCGGGGAAACGCACCAGATGCCTCCAGATGTTTTACCTCTGGGGGGGAAGACTCGGGAGGAACATGGCCTCAAAAGAAGCGGAAGCCGGGCTACACAAAGGAGCGCGTATAAGAATCAGGAGCGTTGCATTGTGGGAAACGGAGTCCTCTACTGCCCTGTGAGGTGGGACGTGGAGGGCAAGACTCAGATGGAGGGGGTCTAGTTTTTAGGATGGAATTTAAAATGTCATCAGAGGAGTTCACAGTGGTAGGTGTGTGTGTGTCTGTGTGTGTGTGTGTGTGTGTGTGTGTGTGTGTGTGTGTGTGTGGGATGTTCTTCCTCTGTGTAGTCATGCTAACACATTCCACGTTATTCACTGGGCCGACTTTTCCATCTGAAGCTGTTAAAGAGAGAAAGAAACGGATGAGGAAGCTTTTAATGCTCCACACTGACCTTTGTATCCCGTTTCTATCCCCATTCACTTCCTGTGAGCAGGTCACAAACTGAACAAATGACCCGCAGAGCTCACAGATGCTGAACTGAGAGAACCTGGTTTTTAGATCCTGCACTTTGCTTCTTCCCCACTAGATGTCCCCGTTCTCCAGCTGTTGGAGAAGTTTTTCCCCCTGCATCCTTTCTCCATCGTGTGAAAGTTCCGGGAATTCTCCCTTTTCCTGATTTCTTTAGTCACTAATCCACGCTGGTCTGCGTGTTTCTGCTTTGGTTATTTTCTGACAAACCTCACAGGCCATTTGAACCCTTTTCCCTCAAAACCTGCTCTCTTTAAACCGTTCTCCCCTCAGACCCTCCTGTTGTTTATCCCCGGTTGCTCATCCAGTAAATAGGTGCTCGGTAAATCGGGATTTTCTCTTTTTTTTTGACGGCTTTCGGTCGTTCAGTGTTATGGTTTCGGCCATCCCGCGTTCGGGCCTTTCCCGGAAACCTCAGACGGATTATCCCGGCAGGAAAACGGTGTTTTGGAAAAGCTTCTAGCTTTAGGAAACGGCTCTTCTCCCTCTTTGATTCCCGATCTGGCTGCTGACTCCCCAGAAGCAGAGCAGAGACTGTAGATTGAAGACTGATGCCTCATGTGGACACACTACGTCTGTGGCCAATCCCTGAGACAAGACAATAAATGGAAAATGTGATGCCAGACACTGGTTTTATCTCCTTTATCTTGAGCTGAAGATCACGTTTTAGTTGTGGTGTTCCTCCAAAAAGTCCCGTTTCCAACCTCATTTCTTTGTTTCCTCTCAACTATTCAGACTTCCCTGATATCTTTTCTTTGTGTTTATTTCTAAGCGTCTGAACCAGAAGCTGTCTAAAAGCTTCCTGATTGGCTGGTGATAAACAAAGAAATCATTGTTGCTTCATGATGAAACAGTAAAATAAAAAAGAAGTCAGTGTTCGGTCAACAGGAGACGCAGTTTCGTCCCGAGATTCAGAAAAACTGGCGGTTAAAGTTCACCCTGATGTTGTGGAGCTCTTATGAAACATTCATCCATCTGAGTCTTACACAAGAGCCAGTTTCCATCCTGGACACGAGGTGTTTCATCACCAAAGGTTTGTCTTCAGGAGATAACCCAGCAGACTCAGATCTGATTCCAGCTTATTTCCTGTTCTCTGCAGAACCCGAACCGGAAAAGCCTCC